ATTTTTCACATGCACATTAGAGTTCATCTTAGACGTTATTCCAACCAAAGCAATTCTGTGATTCTAGGGTTTTGTAGGGAGAAAATATCAAAACAGGACTTGGACAATGTTCTTCTGGCCATCACCTGTGAGTGCCACAGCTGCCCTGGACAGAACTAAGGACTTGCCCGGTGCTGCTGTTCTCAATGACAGAGTGTTTAAAAACAGATAAAACTTGATGCAGAAAAAAATAATCAGGAGGGACCTGTGCTGGAGGAGACCTGTACACAGCTTCACCTGGGTTATTTATTCTAATCCTGTGGTAATCATGATGGTGTTTTGATAATAGCAGACCTTTGTGATCAAAATACCTCTTATTTCAATGATTCAAGGACAAAATGGGATGCTATTGTCTCCCTGGATGAATGTGAGATGTTTTATGAAAGGTACGATCAGTGTGTTCAGAGAATGACAAAATTTTCTTTCCTATCTTGGGAGGTAACTGCAGCACTGGCTGTGCAGCACTGAATCCCTTACTCCTGGTTTGTGCTGTGAAGGGATCTGTGTCACAGTTATTTATGTCTATATTTTAAATGTGATTTGAAAAGAGACTGATTCAAAAATTTTCAATGACCCAGTGAAATCTGAACTACTTATAGCAAGACAAGAAGTATAATGCTTCAATCAAAATAGCAACTTGGAATGTGTTTTATTAAACAGAGTTCATTTAATACTACCCCAGAGTGCTGTGGATGTGAAAACACATTCTTGAACTGGAACTTTCACATCTAGGTAATAGGAATGAAAGAAAAATGGTAATTTTTAATATTTACATTTTGGGACAAATTCTGGTCTCATATAGAACTATCCACAGCATTCCTGAGTATTTTCCAAAACTGGTGTGTCCCTGGATCTGGTATGTCACTACGAGGTGAATATGTTGCAGGAAAAACAAGTACACCCTGCACAGAGCTCTAAGTAAAATCCTGGCAGATTCAGCTTTCCCATCATTCTCTCTGCAGTATTTTCAAGGCGTTTCAAGTGAGAGAAAACAAAACAGGCTAAGTCTCAGGCTAAGTACAATTGAATAAAATTCTGAAATAAGGTATCAAGGGATGCAAAATAACAGAAAAAAAAATGGATTCTATGTATAAACTCTGAGTACTTTTCCCTTGTAAATATTCCTTGATTTTTGCTAGCAATATTATGCAAAAATATTTAAATTAGCAGATTATAAAAGACCAGTGCTGCCCGTGTTACATGGATACCAAATCTATCGGGGACCCGCAGTCGGGAGGTGATGGGACCATTTATATCTCCATTAGTGGAGAATTGCAGATCATCCCAAGGAAAACGGGTTTTTACTTGTCAGCTCTTCGGTATTTCGGGAGTTTAAATGGCTTCTGCTACCAGCCGGAGCGTGAGCGCGTAGAGGCACAAGGGCTAATTTCTGCCGGACGCCGGGCGAGCTCACCGGCTCCGGGCTCACCGGCCCCGGGCTCACCGGCCCCGGGCTCACCGGCGCGGGGAGCGGGACCGGCGGCTGCGGGGGCTCAGCGCTCGTCCGGTGCCCACGCTGGGCCTCGACCCGGCGCCGGGTCCCGATCCCCCTCGGTCCCGCCGCCGCCAGGCACCCACCGGGACATGAAGCCAAGGAGGGATGGCGGAGCAGGGGAGGCGGGGAGAGCTACGCTCCCTGTGCAGCGTTAAAATACGATAAAAAAGAACTTACTAGGTCCTAATTTAGAGAAACGAAAAATCCTGTTCTGTTCACACGGAGGAACTCCAGTGCCTGTATGAATGAATTCTCACCCGCCGTTAGTGCTGGTCCTGCCGGCACCTTCCACCTCTGCCCGAATCCCCGAGACAGAGGGAGGGTGTCAGCTGAGCACCGAGAGGACGAGCCGAGCATCGGGTTCTGCCCGCGCAGCATCGCGCTCTCCGCCCGGTCCGGGCTGGGGCAGAGCCGGGAGGTGCGGGATGGGGCAGAGCCGGGGGATGCGGGATAGGGCAGAGCCGGGGGATGCGGGATGGGGCAGAGCCGGGGGATGCGGGATGGGGCAGAGCCGGGCAGTGTGGGATGGGGCAGAGTGGGTGTCCTCTGCCAGCTGGGCCAAGCACCCAACAACCAGGCTCTGAGCTGTCAGAACTACCCTGCAAAAATCACAATTACAACTATAAAACCTGATTTTGAGAAAAATATTTCTCTTTTCACAGGATCCTGCAGAAAATGAAAACAAGCTTTTCCCCTCTAGTACAAAATTGACCAAATAGCGTATCTGCTCAGGTACCATAAATAAACTGCATCCAGAAAGTGGAACAAGATCTTTCATGTAATCTCTATATGGAATTTGGGTGTCATTCTCTGATTTAAGAAAAAAAAAAAAAGCTGAGAATTCTCTGACCTTGACCCCAGGTAGCTGCCTGCTGTCACACCACTGCCAGCACAGCATGTTTGACAGCAATTCTTACCAGCTTCATTTTCTCCTGGTGTGAAGAAATGAAGTTAGCAGCTCAGCAAATGTAGGTATTTATATAAAGACACAAATTTTTTACAGACACACCTTTTCAAAAGTTCTGTCACAAAACACCCAGCATGTTCCCCTGAGGTGCTTTCAACTATGGGTGGATCAGAAGTAAAACATTTCCCATAATATCCCACTACGTAAAATAAAATTCACAAGGTATTACAAAGTAATTGTGTATTTTCAGTAACCAAAAATACTGAAGAGCTGCTAAGCCTCCAGTGCATGATACATTTAATGTGATAAATTAAAAAAACTTGAGACTGATTAAATTAAATGGAGACTTGTTTAAATTCAAGTGAAGTCCTGGTAGAAGTGGAAGCTGAGAGGTGCAAAGCCACCCTGGTCTGGAGACATTTAACCCCATGTGAAAACACTGACTTCACTGCATTCTGCAGCTGTTACTGCCATGCTCTTGTAAACCATTTTAAGTACCTGAATTTCAGAGGAAGTTGTTTCAAGCGAACACTTGTGCTCTGACATCTGTGATTTACACGCACAGAATTATCCCAGCGAATGGGTCAAGTGACTTTGTGCCCAAGTGCATGGATGTGCTGGGGAGCACAACTGGCTCGGAACCTGCAGCACAGCCACAGGGAACGCTGCGGCGCTGATTTGAGTAGTTTCCTGGTGTGGATGTGAAATGCTATGGGCTGAGAAATGACAATCAGTTCCTGGAATGAATGAACCCATTTGCCTCCCCTGAAACAACTGAGTGCACAGGGAGTGAAATTGTAATTTTAAGAAATTTAACACAGTGAGAGCAAGTATAAAAATACCTTTTAGATTAATTAAGTGGCTAAGCACACTTACAAATGATAAAGATTTGACAGTTTTAGGAGTCCTGTTGCTTATCGGTGAATTTCCCTGCAGCCACAACCCCCAGAATCCCCCTTTCAAGGGTGCTGCCTCCAGCTGCCTCTGGATGCTCTTCCCAGTTGCTGCCTGTGCCCCACACAATGACAGCCCAGCATACAGCAGCTGCAAATAAAACATCTTGACAAAATTAACCTCAAAATGAGCTGGTAGAACTTGGGTGAGCACGGGACAAGGTCTAAGGGCAGTGGTGCATGGAGAAAAGTGTTGCTGGTCCCAGAACAGTGTCAGGGTGGTGAAACCTCCTCAGCATCATCTGCAACCTTGGATGGGGTACCAAAAAAAAAAAAAAATCAGAAAAATGTTGCAAAAACTGTTCTACATACTGAAGAAACATCTCCCTGATCCTTCTCTGTTGATTTGTCTTGTTGTAGTGTCTTGTTTAGTTTTAGTACAAGATCCCCAACAGTCTTCAGTCATTGGCGACGATAGAAATAAATGCAGTTAGGGTACCACTTTTGTGTCAAGATGCCAAAAAGTCTTCCTGAATTTTTTATCATTTTTCAGAGGAATGTGGGATCAGTTTCTGACAAACTGTATTTCTCAGAATGTAAATACTGTAGTGCTGTTACATGGGGTGAGGGTTTGGAGCGTTACAGGGTCTGTGGGCACTGCCTGTGCTTGGTGCTGGTGTCGTCAGTCCCAACAGACCAGTGCCAGACATTTTAAGAAATGCCACATGCAGAGGAGGGTTCAGACCATTCTGAACAAACTCCCTGAAATCCACAAGCAACAACTACCTCCTCAGTGTGCAAGGTGTCCCCCCCAGGTGGTGAAGAGGGATCTGCAGGAATGGTGGGACTCCCAGCAGTGGGAATGGCAACAGGGGTTCCCAGGCTTTGCTAAAGCAGCAGGCTGGGGAGGACCCTCTGCATGGAGGCAGATGTTGCTGCTTGTTGATGGAAGCCCTGGGGTTTGAGTTCAGCCCAGACAGGCAGTTGACCCTCAGAGTGGAGAGGAAGGTCTGTGGAAAAAGGTGACTGCAAAGGTCTGACACAAGCCCGCATCCCAACAAGGCTGCAGCAACACCTGTGGCAGAAGCCACATCCCCACACCTGAGGAGCTGCTGTGCTTTGCCCAACCGTGGGCTGCTCCACCATCTGCCTGCTGCCCCACGGGCTGTGGGACTCCAATCTTGTTCACATAGCTCCTGGCCAGCAGCTCAGCACTGTTAGAAACTATGCCCCTGGGTTGAGTCATACTTTAACCAGCCTGCCCAAACGCACATGAGGTCTCAGATCGGTGCACACAGCGCTGCTTTGGAAGGTTTCTGTGGAATTTCCACCACACGTACTGGCTGTCTCACAAGTGGATGGTCTTCAGCCTTCACTGCCTGTCTTCCCCTTCCTGAAGGAGAAACCTGCAGAGCTGCCTGGCTCTGCAAAACCCAGCAAGTTGGAAGTGAAGTGCTGCCGCAGAGAACACAGCGAAAATCTGCAGCAAACCAGTTGTTTCTGGGATAACTGATGGAGCACCACTTTGTTAATTCAACAGTACACTTTAAAAACTCACAAAACATTATACGGCTTTGTTCTCCGTGTCCTGTAGCTACACCTGCTCACTATTCTGTTAATTACCTTTTTTTCTGGTCAATGTCCATGACAGTATTACTACTTGGACCACAGGAGTATATAAATATCTTAAAAAGAGCATTACAATAACTTTTCCAGTTCACCATTTGCTTTCAAATGTCTTAGTCTACATCATGATTTCAGCAAACAGGCCAAGGCAGCTTTCACTATCATCCTGGGGCTCCAGCTCTCTGCTGGGATCAGCCTGTTCCTGAGCAGTCCGTCTCTTTCTTCTGTGCACATACACAGAGTGGCTCTTCTCTGGCCCCTTGGGAAACAAGGTGTCTGCAGGGGCAGCAGCTTCCAGAGCCAGCTCCAAGCCTTTGTGGAATCTAGACAGAAACAAGTCTGTAGTTATTGTTTTAATAGATTTCCTCAGGATCTGCAAATTACTCTGAGAAACTAATGCTTTTAAAATGTAATCAAAACATGCAAGGGGAGAAAAGTGGTTACTAACATTTTACTAAATACTGAAGAAAAATTAGATGTCATGAACAGAACTGGTGTATTCTTACAAACCTGTCAATTCTCCTTATGTTCTCTTCCATTTTCTGATTGGCTACATGTACCAGAAATTCAATATATTCTTCAGAGACCATCAATCTCCCTTTGTGGCTCAATGGAACTTCTAAGCAGTGAGTGCTCCGCACAGCCTGAAAACACACACATTATTTACCTGGAATAAAATTTTTTAGTTTATGAAGGTTATTTAAATAATGTAGGGAGTTCATTATAGTAAAAAACCTGCTTAACCATATGATTATTTAGGTTGCTGTCACGTAAAGCAGCAAGCTATTTCTTTGCTATAGCATGCCCTGTGACAGCTCTTAAGCATCAGTCAGGTCTTGGCTGGTACAAAAATAAAGGTTAACGTAACAATATGGTACTGTAAGGGATGTAATTAAGTCAAGAGTCCTTACCATTGTAATTTTTCCTCCTCTGCCAACTGTAATACCAGAGTTCCTGAATCCAGAGTCAATAGCCACCGAATGCTGCAGAAAAAAATAAATGCCTAAACAGGTCTTGTACACCTTCACAGCAAAAAATATTTATGGACGCGTTGCAATGCAACACACAATCTCAAATTTGCAAAATATGTATTCAAATAATCTATCCAGAGTTATTAAAAAATAGTTACATTAAAATACTTTTTAAGATCAAACCCACAAATGGTGGGTATTTTTCAGAGGCCCATGGTGGATCCTGATTGAATCCATCAGTGCACAAGGCATGTAACGTCTCTCTAGGCACTGAACTATTTTATCCCAATGAGCAGGAACTTCACAGGCAGTTGTGCCACCCTTTGACAACGACAAGTGCAGCTGCACTCTACGTGAGCCCCTCAGCTCTTCTGCACAAATGCCAAAACAAGCCCAGCATGGCACACATTGCTCTCCGCAGTCATACTGCAAAAGCAGAAGGCAAAGGCATCATTCAATGCACTGAAAATGGAGCCAAATGGCCTGGCTGGTAGCAAAGCACCATCTAAAATCCAGCCCTTTCAGGCAGGGAGAGCAGCCCAGGCCCCTCAGGTAGTGCTTCATGCAGCAGTCTGCTTCGGCTCGAAGGCTGAATTGCAGGTGAGTCTTCTTTCTTTCTAAGTATGGTAAAATTCTCACCAAGTTTAAAGCTGTGTTTTTTCTTCAGCTTACTTTACTACCCTGATTATTAAACACACAGAGCACCTGGGACTGTTTCTAAGTGCAACTGCTTACCCAGGAGCCAATACTTTTATTTTTGCAGCAAGAATGTAACAGAACAATGCCACATTGTACTTGACGTGGCTTTACCAGCAGCTGTGCATCCTGCAGCTCCCGACACAGCACGTGAAGAACAAACGGTTCAAACTTGAACACAACATCACCAGTGGCTTTCTTGAGTGCTGTCATCTGGAAAATACACCAAAATATTTATATAAAAATCAGAGCACTTTCTCTCGTAAGAGTTAACAACACCCCACTGCGTGGTCCATGGCCTGAAATTTTAGCAAGTTTTGCTTTGCTGGAACAAATACTAATGAAAACAAATATTCTGGAGGACACTTCTGTGCACGTGTGAGAATGTATATGTATGGTAAAGTGAACTATGAATTGAATGAGAAAATGCTGATCTTGCAACTGCCTCTTTTGTGGGACAAAGCAATATATGCAACGAGTAGATTATTTTGAAAGCACACTAAAAGTGAAAAACCCCGCACTATAGATGTTTTTAATTTTGGGGTATTTAATGATACTAAATTAACAATGCAGTATAAGAGATTCCCTGTTACACCACTTTCAGCTGTCTGCTAGCACAGCAAGCTGGGGTCAAGAGATTTTTTAATTCAAGTGTTTTAAATATGACTCCAGACAGCAAGGAATTATATAAATTTTTGGAATATTAGCTGCCTTTGTAACTATGCAGAGAATTTAATATTGAATTTAAAAGCATTCTCTCTAAATGGGTCTGAAGAATTTATTAAGCAACACATCTAAGGAAAAGTCAATTTTGAGAGCAGAGTATCAACCTCAGTAGCAGGAATAAAAGCCCTCTGACATGATGTGTTTTCCATGACACCGGGAGCATTTCTAAGAATAAACCCCACTGCGTCATCCATGGCCTGAAATTTTAGCAAGTTTTGCTTTGCTGGAACAAATACTAATGAAAACAAATATTCTGGAGGACACTTCTGTGCACGTGTGAGAATGTATATGTATGGTAAAGTGAACTATGAATTGAATGAGAAAATGCTGATCTTGCAACTGCCTCTTTTGTGGGACAAAGCAATATATGCAACGAGTAGATTATTTTGAAAGCATACTAAAAGTGAAAAACCCCGCACTATAGATGTTTTTAATTTTGGGGTATTTAATGATACTAAATTAACAATGCAGTATAAGAGATTCCCTGTTACACCACTTTCAGCTGTCTGCTAGCACAGCAAGCTGGGGTCAAGAGATTTTTTAATTCAAGTGTTTTAAATATGACTCCAGACAGCAAGGAATTATATAAATTTTTGGAATATTAGCTGCCTTTGTAACTATGCAGAGAATTTAATATTGAATTTAAAAGCATTCTCTCTAAATGGGTCTGAAGAATTTATTAAGCAACACATCTAAGGAAAAGTCAATTTTGAGAGCAGAGTATCAACCCCAGTAGCAGGAATAAAAGCCCTCTGACATGATGTGTTTTCCATGACACCGGGAGCATTTCTAAGAATAAATATAAAGGCTGTGTCTCACTGTGCTCATACCAGATCGCTTTTGACACATGGGTCATGTGTTACCAGGAGCCACGTGCAGTTCTTCTTCTGGATACCCGTGCCGTCTGTGTCCTAGTGATGGACAGAAACCATTAATATGGCTTGGCAGCTTGGTGAGGTTTAATCTCGTGCTGCTACAAAAACGGTCCTTGGAAATAAAGAAGCATCCCTTGAAGCAAGAGCCCATTCACACCGCGAGCAGACCCAGTGCCACGATCACCCTGCCTGTCCCGTCCCTCACGCACCACCACGGTCACCCTGCCTGTCCCGTCCCTCACGCACCACCACGGTCACCCTGCCTGTCCCGTCCCTCACGCACCACCACGGTCACCCTGCCGTCGCACGAGCTCGCGGTGCAGAAGCGCTCGCGCGCGTTCAGGAGCCGCACGAGCTCCGCGGCCCGCGCGTCCAGCGCGCGCTTGCGGCTGGGGTCGGGCTGCGCGAGCCGCTGCGCCTTGCGCCGCGCGTCAGCGCTCCGCCGCGGCAGCGGCGCTCCGCAGGTAGGCGGTGGGCGCGGGGCCCCCCGGCGCTCGTCCAGCGGGACGGGACGGGAAAGCAGCGGCTCTGCGCCACCCGTGCCACCGCCACAGCCACGGCGGCACGGCCGGGCGACACGGGGGAGACGGCTACACGGGAGCGGCTCCAAGGGGCGGGGCCTGACCGCAAGGAGCGCTTCCGGGGCACGGCCTGACCGCGGGGCGGTGGAAAAGGCGGGGCCTGGCGGCGGGGGAGTGTTTGTGGGCGGGGCTGAGCGCGTGTCCTGGGCCCGTCCGGCCCGGCCCTGCGCCCCTCGGCCAGGGACAGCCCCGCTGGCCCGGGCTGTGCTCCCCGCGCTCCCCGAGCTCCCCATCCCCGAGGGCGCTCCCAGCGGGAGGCCCTGCCCTGCTCGGGGCCTGCCCTCGCTGTGCCCGGTCCCGTATCGCAGGATCGATCTGCGCGTGGGCCCCGCGCGGTGTGCCGTGCCCAGGCCGTGCCCGCGGGCCGTCCCCGCCGCCCCAACAGCCAGCAGGGCTCTCGTTGTTTCTTTCAGCAGATCCTCTGGCCGCCATGGCAGCCACCAGGAGGGTGATGAGAGCCGTCCGAGTGTTTGAATTTGGTGGCCCTGAAGTGCTTAAACTGCAGTCAGATGTGTTAGTTCCTGTTCCAAAAGAAAACCAGGTATATGTGAGCTCTGTGAAGGGAAATAGCGATAATGAATGTTAACAAGTGCCTGCAGGACAGAATGAGAGATACAACCCAGAACCTGGCACCTGGAGTACGTGAGTTTTGGTCAGTGTGTGCGTACTGCTTGAGATATCATGCTTAACAAATGTGGGCACTTTACTCTGCGGTGGGCTATGTATTCCACGTCAAGATTTCCCTGAAATTAGCTTCACTTTGACACTGGGCTGTTACAGAGGCTGTTTGAGAATTCAGTAAAAATGCTACAACACCGTGCTGTGAATGGAAGAACTAAATCTTTTTAGTTATTGCTTAAGAAGTGTCTTTTCTTTTAGGTATTAATTAAAGTCCATGCCTGTGGGGTAAACCCTGTTGAGACATATATTCGTTCTGGGACTTATGCCAGGAAACCTGCTTTACCCTACACTCCTGGCTCGGATGTGGCTGGGGTGATTGAAAGTGTTGGGGAACACGTGACTGCATTCAAGGTACTTACACACTGGGCATAATTCACTATTGTTTAATGGGTCCTCTTTGGCTGATTGCTGTGCTGCTGTACCTGGTTTCATTGCATATAATCACGTAATCTCTTCAAGGGGGGAAGCCCCTTCACGGCCTGGTAAAAGCACACAGTGGGATCCCACTGGCAAACCAGCCTGCTGGTGGGACTGTGAGGAATGCTGTGCCCTCCTGAAGTTCAGGGGTCTCAGAAGAGGCACTGCAGTCTGTCTGCTTAAAGCAGTGATATCTGGTGTGCAAAAGTTGGGGTTTGGAGCTATTTTTATGGCATTTCACAAAAGGTTGAGATTGGATGCTTCTTGCTGGGGGTAGTAATTTCAGGCAGAACTGAAAATTTTTCTGTCAAGTATTTGAAAAATGGGAATGGCTTACTTATAAAGCTCCATAAATTCTATTATTTGTTGCTGAAATTGTTCAAATACTGTATTACTCCTATCTACTAATTCTACTTGGATTTCTCAGTGGAAAAATCTTGGGACAGGAGAAGGCAAATATCAATTTGCTAAAAGATATCTATGACATCAATTTAGTTTTTTAGTTGGTTCTCCCATTTAAGTCATTAGACATTTGGTCCCAAACAAAAATAAAAATTGTAGGTAAATTTGGGCTGGAATTTCCTGATTTGGAATTTATGTAACAATTTTGGGAGATCTGAGAAATAGATGATTCTTCTCTCTTGATAACCCTTTGTTCATATTTTCTTATCAACAGTTTGCTGTATCTGCTATGTGTGACTTTTTGCTTCCTCTGACAATTGTGATGTTCTTGGCTTGAATGACAGAGAGAGATGTCTTAGGGTATATTAAGAGGATACATATTCCCACATTTAAATAATTTAGAAATGTTTCTTTTGTGTTTGTAAAAGCTTTTGAGGTTTTGCATTTGTAATCTGTGGATGGAATTCCTGACTTCAGTCAAAGTTCATTAAGGTTCATATTAATGAGTCAGGTTTGTGTGTTACACTGCAGGGTGGGGTTATAGTTATGATACTTAGATTTAAGTATAAGAAATTACACAGTTCATGTTGCATTGATAGTATGTATCAGAATTTGTAAAAATTTCTTTGACAAATGTAACTGGTTATTGTTGATATAAGAGGTTTTGGCAATAGCCTAAATGTCTGTAAATTTCATCTTAATGTTTATTAAGGAAAAATAAGGGAAATGATTGATTTCTGTGTGTTCCCTCCCTCCATTCTAGAAAGGTGACAGAGTTTTCACCCTTGAAACACTTTCTGGAGGATATGCAGAGTATGCAGTTGCTGCAGCCAACAGAGTCTTTCCTTTGCCGGACAAGCTGGACTTCAGGCAGGGGGCAGCCATCGGAGTGCCCTACTTCACTGCCTACCGGGCCCTTTTCCAGAAGTAAGGCACCCAATCCCTGTTTGTGCACTTTAACCTTTGGTATTTACAATACCGAAGTTCGTATTTTCACTGACCTTTAAAAGGGGGAGGTTGGTGAGAGGGAAATGCTTAAAAACGTTGCACTGATGCAATTGTCAGATAATTGTAATCTAGAAGCTTGTGACTGTGTTTTCCTGTTAAGTCTTTTTTTTTCTTGATAGAACCTGCCTGGAAAGGCTTCATGGAATAAAATATGTGACTCCCTTTCAGTACTCACTGGTATTTTGGCTGGGGAAGAAAATTGCAATAGTTCTAATTTCCTCAGCAAGCAGACAGGTGCTGTGGAGCAGAGCCACTGCTTTCCTGTGGCAGGCCAAAGTCCTGGACTGAGGCTCAGTACCAGGCTCTCACTAGCTGCATGTTGCTTCAAGTCAACAGTCACAGGATTTATTTTGCCTCCTTGTTCTCCCAAAAAGGCTTGAGATATCTGTTTAGCCATAAATTGGAATATAATTGGAACATAAACTGGAAGCAATGCTGTGTGAACGATGTGGTGTCAGTATCTGCAGCCCCATGCTCAGGCAGTCTGTGCTGCAATCACAGTGCCAACATTTCTTGTGTTCTTCACTCAGAGGCTGTGCCAAAGCAGGGGAAAGCGTGCTGGTTCATGGTGCTAGTGGGGGGGTAAGTATTCAAGGAGGCAAGTGGTACAGAACACTGCTCTCTGTCCTTGCATCTGCTTCTTCTTGGGATGTAAGTTATGGTCATATTTGTATCAATAGATTAGCAGATTAGGTTTTTACTCCAGATACTCTAGGATACACTTTCTTAGAAAAACCCTATTATTCCCACTAAGTGTGAGACTGCACGAGTGCTGGTGTGAGTTCCCCAGTCTGAGGGTCACACACTAAACAGGTGTTTGCTGCAGGTGTAGTTGCTCTGGAAGTTTTATTGCTGATAGCAGAAAGCTCTAGTTTTCCAATATGTTGAGTGCTGGTGTGAGTTCCCCAGTCTGAGAGTCACACACTAAACAGGTGTAGTTGGTCTGGAAGTTTTATTGCTGATAGCAGAAAGCTCTAGTTTTCCAATATGTATAAATTGTTCTCAGTCCTCTGAGAATAGGTCACTGGTGCAGGGTGACTGTGCATTTCTGTTTACATTCTCATGTTTTTACCCATAAGCCAACAGCTGGCTGCACAAGGAAAGGTACTGGAATATATAAACCTGTGATTGAATGCTACACAAAATTGCACTTCTAGTTTTCTTTGGGTTTACATGGCAAACTTATTTCATATCTCCATGACTCAACATTTTAGTTTGTCTCCCACACTCTGCACTTCCTCACTTTCAGGTGGTGCACCAAACAGCTGCTGTGAACAGGCTAAGTTTCCTTAAGTATTTGTTAGACAACAAAAAGATGAATTAATGTCTTATTCTGAGATACTAGAATGGCATTTAGCATCATAAGTATTTTTTTTAAATTTTCATAAACTAAATGTAGTGCTTCTATTCTTACTGGAGTGCAAGGTAGGAGGCACTGAGAATTCACTTTCTAAAGAAGTAATGCTAATAAAATTTGTGCCTGCAGATTTTCTTTGCAGTGTATAGTGCTGGTATTAATAGCAGGTGATTCTGTGAAGAGAAGAATTTCCTTGGATTTGTATAAAAATATAGGGCCCAGGTTTGACAGATACTCAGCATTCTACATTGATGTGTGTCAAATACTGATAGCTGTTAAAAACCCTCAAAAATTTACCATGCGTCAGTAAATGTCTTTTCTTTTTTAAAGAGTATTTGGCTGTCTTTAAAATCCAAATTATTGGCCAAAAAAACCACTTTACCAGACTAACTTTTTAAATGGGGAAGTTCCAAGTTGCTGGTAGAATATCTAAAATTCTAAGAAAGAGGTAAAATAAATTTATCTTTTTGGTTTCTTTTCTCCCCTCAGGTGGGACTAGCAGCATGTCAGATTGCCAGAGCTTGTGGTTTGAAGGTTTTGGGTACAGCAGGAACTGAGGAGGGCATGAATGTGATCCTGAGAAACGGTGCTCACCAAGCCTTTAATCACAGAGACCCAAATTACACTGAGAGAATTAAGGTAGGCCTGTGTCTGGACTCAAGAGTGCAGGTTGTGTTGTTCTTAACAAAATGAGAACAGTTGTTTGTGAAGACTTTAAATTAGATTTATTTAGGATCAATAGTGCACTGCCTTTTTCATTTCTACACAAGGAAAAACTTTCTCAGGCTGGAAGAGCTGAGCTTTCCTCACAAGCAGTGGCATTTAGAACTTCTTACATTCAGCAAATTCTAGTGTGGGATCACATCAAAAGTTAACACAGCAAAATGTGCTACAATTCAGCTCATTAGCTATCAGCTGCAGTACAAAGACTGTATTGAAAATTTAAACAATGAGCTGTAAAGTGGATACTTTCTGTAGTGTTTAAAAGAAATGGTGGTACCAAGCACTAAAACAATATCCTGTGTCCTGTACAGGCATGCACAGGGCCGGGAGGAGTCGATATCATCATAGAAATGCTCTCTAATGTCAACCTGGATGCTGACTTGCAGCTGCTGTCCTACGCAGGGAGGGTGATGGTGAGTGTTTGTGTCCTGGGCCAGGAGGGTGACAGGGGTGTTTGTGTCCCTGAGCAGGGAGGTGATGCTGAGTGCTCGTGTCACTGATTTTGTGCATTCAGCATCACACTGAACAGCTCTGACTCGATGCTTTGGACTCCTTTGGGCAGGTTGTGGGCTGCAGAGGACGCATTGAGATAAACCCAAGAGACACAATGAGCAAGGAGTCCAGCATAATTGGAGTGAGTCTGTTTCTTGCAACTGAGGTGAGAAGCATTTCTAAGTATGCTTTATTTGCTTGTTCCAGCACCCCTTTATTTACTGTTAAAATTATTTGAAGGAATGAAAGAATAATTTCACTGTAACAAACTTAGTTCATTCCTTTATGTTTTGATTCAATCTCAGAACATCATAAAATATTTTCTGGTTGTGGAATTTGTTTTAATTCTTGCATAAATTGCTAGTACTATTTTGAACTGTAAAGCCCTTGTCATAAACACTATGTTTGTCACATGCAGGAGGAAAGGCGTGAATGTGCCACAGCAGTCCTTGATGGCATAGAAGCTGGCTGGCTGAAACCTGTTGTGGGCTTGGAATATCCCCTGGAGAAAGTAGCCAAGGCTCATGAAGACATTATTTGTAGCAGTGGTGCCCGAGGGAAGATGGTGCTCCTTCTATAAAGGAGCATCTTTCCCCATTTATTTTTTAGCTGTTCTAGCTGCACCTTTGCTTACATGGTTCACTGAATGTATGTTATAAACATACCTTTGATCATGTTTGACAGTAGCAGAAAATGCCCACTTAGATGAATTAGTTAACATTTTCCTTTTGTAATGAGCAGAGTTGCATTTACTGTAATTTTGGTAGCTTTTATGATTGATGTGGAAATAATAAATTTTCCCTGCTGGCGCGCTCTGTGCTGCAGGGAATGGTAGGGTTTGGTATCATGGTCCATGTGAAGGCACAGTGAGGCCACTGCAGGTAACACAGAATGAAGATGCTTTTTACAGATACACAAAAATAAATAACTCACTATGTTAATTAGAACTGTAAATTCTTTTAGCCACAAAATTTGTACTCAAATTTTGTCACATAATTTACTTGAAAAAAAAACTTTTGCTGACAAAATAGTTTACTTTCCAGCTCAAAAGATGGGCAGAATCTTTCAAAACATGAACTGTTTGGAGCCAAGGCAGTTCTACTTGTCTGTGCCTCTGAGGTGACAGAGGTCTGAGGTGACAGTATCCTGGCTCATCCACAGGGACTGTCACTCTGGAGCTGCATGCTGGGATTTGCCTCTTTGGAAATGATGATCATGACCGAAGCAGCTGATTCCTGGATGGTGAATGGCTGATTGTGAAGATTTCAGTTCTTCCTATGAGCTTTATTAAAGTCTCCTGGATCCCTGGCTGCATGGCTTGGTGCCACGGAGAGTTCCTGTGAAATTCCTGAGCTCCATCCACTGAAGTGGGCAGGGCACAGCCTCAGCACCAGGGCTTGTGTGCAGATGTCTATGTGGGGTCACTTTGTCATGACACCAGGGCCATTTCATTGTTCTCATTGTCTTGTTCTCATACACCTTAAATCCATTGCACAACAGATAGTGTTGCCAGGAAAGATGGTGGAATGCTTCTAGAGTAATGATTTCAATCTAGTGTTTCAGTGAGTGGTTTCAGAAAGCTGCTTGGGGAGAGAAGGACAAGGCCAGCTCAGCAGTGGGAAAGTCTGCCGAGGTGCAGTGGGGTCCTCCCTCCCTCCAGGCTCCCCCAGGACAAGGAAGCTGGTTTCCTTGTTTGTAGCACTTGCCACAGGAGTAGGGAGCTGTGTTTTTTATGTGATTTAAGTGGTTCACCTGGTGTAAGTGGTGTGTGTAGCTAGTGTCTCAGCTGATTATCCAGGTGAAAGGTGCTGACTGTTCCTGTTGTCTCAAGCAGAATGCAGCTTGAGCCGTGGTGTCATGCTGGCAATCTGCTACTCCTCTTGACAACTGTTAGAGAAAGTAAAACACCTCTTGCTATCAAGGTATTAAACAGAGGTTAAAAGTAATGACAGATATGATTGTGGAGATGATGTGCATATAAACTATATACCTTTCCTCTATATTGTGTTCACATATTAAATTATTTTTAATTCAGTCGTAATTTAGTAGGGGTCTGTGACATGAATGAGAGGCTGATGGTTTGCAGTGGCTCCTTTCTTGCTGAGTGCTGCCACTGCATCGTGGATGGTGTTTAGAGGAGAAATTCAGAGCAAGTCTCTGGCTGTTGTCCCAAGGGCCGTGGTTGTAGTGGAGTTTGTCACCAGAAGGTGTCAGAGCAGTTCTGTGATACCACATTATCGCTGCTCTCTGCCAGGTGGCGTGGCAGAATGGCACAGCAGGACTGGGACTGACTTGTTGGGAATATCATATAACGTTTATTCTTCTGTCAGATTCTAATGTATTGTATAAATGGAAGGATTTTTTTTAATTTTGGAAGAAGCAATGTGAAAAGAGCTAATGAGAAGGGCTCAGGTATGTCTGATTTGTGCAAGCCGCCAGCCTAGAGAATGTCATCCTGGAGAGTCCTTGGTGTCGCTCTCTTTTTGGGACATGCTGCCCCTTGGCAGTGCAGAAGAGGATGAGGAAGAGAGTGGTGGCCACAGATCTTTGAATTTGGTGGAATAATTCTCTCAGTTTGTTGAGAATCTTCTGATTTGACTGGATGGGATTTTGGAGGCAGTGGTTCCCAGGCACAGCCTGCTTGGTGCTGCCAAGGGTGGTTGGAAGGGTTGAACAGGCTCAAGTTGTGCTGACTTTGGCATCTGCAGGAGAGGTTTGGGGTTCAAAGTGAGGAGTTGTGTACAACACAAGGCTCTGGAAACTGCTGTTCTATGTGTTTCTAAAACATAAAAGAGTGGAATTGTTCTGAAAAGCAGCTGCTCTTGGTTAATTTTATTGTGCCCCAAATAAATGCTGCTTACATTTCTAGTCATTAAAACTGTAATTGCCTCTCTATTGTAATTGTCCTGTGTCTGTTCCTGACTTCTTCCTGTGCTGCAGGATAATACAATAAGTTACTTTGAGACTTCAATTACAGAGTTGGGAAGATAAATATCAAGAGAATATTGATGTCAATAATTGCTCCCTTTACAAAAGGCAGATCAATATTGAGTTTGGGTGGCTCATGCCACAGAAGATTTGAGGATGGTGAAGCTTTAACTTTTTGGAACAGATGCATCAGGAGGAATGGCTGTCCCTGCTGTTTCTCACTGCAGGGATCTCTGCTCACATCAGTCACTCTGGCCCCTGGAAGCATTACCTTGTGCATTTGTACTTCAAATGGGACTCTCAACAACTGCAGGAAGAAGGGAAAAATGAGCATGGAAGGGTGGTTGTGTCTCCTTTATTTCAGTAAATCGGGTGTCTGTTGCCAATGCACACTTCGGTGCTTCCTGTCATCTGGATTGAGAGATGGAAACCAGGATTAATCTTGGAAGTGCATCTTTGTCACCTCATCATATATTTTTACGTTCCTGGATCTGTGTTGTATGAAAATGCCTTCTCCATACTTCTATTATAAACTTTTTTTCTTTCCTTTTTCGTCTTATATTCCGCCCCCCCCCCCCCCCTTTTACGTTCCTGGATCTGTGTTGTATGAAAATACCTTCTCCATATTTCTATTATAAACTTTTTTTCGTTCCTTTTTCGTCTTATATTCCCCCCCCCCTTTATTATTTTCCTTTTTCCATCTTTCCTTTCTGTTTCTTCGTTTTCCTTTGCCTCTCCTGCCAGTGTCCTGCAGCCCCGCCCAGCTGCAGTCCTGTGGCCAGTTCCGGCTCCTCAGCACCAGACAGACAAGAAGCTGCTGGAGGGGGTCCAGGAGAAGGTCACAGAGATGGTGAGGCGTATTGCCTCTGAAGCATCTCTGTAAGGCCGAGAGACTGCCCAAGGTGGGCATGCTTGGTGTGGAAAAGAGACAGCTGAGAGGGGATCTCACCAATCCATGCAAATATTTCCGAGGGGTGTCACAGAATGGTGCCAGGCTCTGTTCAGTGGTGCCCAATGACACGATGAGGAGTAATGGCCATGAACTAAAGCACTACAGAAGTTCTACTGCAACGTGAGGAAGACCTTAACATTTTGAACAGATGCATCAGGAGGAATGGCTGTCCCTTCCAACCCCAACAATTCTGGTGTTGTGTGATTCTGGGGCGGCGGGCGGAGCACCGCCCCCCTCCCGTTTCTCCCTCCTCCTTGCGTGTCTCTCCCTCCCTATCGCCCATCCCTCCCTTCCTCCCGTCCGTCCCTCCATCCCTCCCTCCCTCCGTCTCCTGGCGACGCCGGGACGCGGCGGCAGCGCCGGTGCCGGTGCCGGGGCAGCGCTGCCATGAGCGCCCCGCAGCCCCGGTGAGTGGCCCGGGGGCCGGGGCCGGGGCCGGTCCGTGTCGGGCTTTCAGCGCTGCGGGAATGGTGCCGGGCTCGGGGCCACCGGCGGCCGCTGGGGGAGAGAGGGGGGCTGGGGGTGCCCCGACCCGCCCGGAGAGCCCGGGCAACCTGCCCGGCACCCCGGGACTCCCGTTCGGCAAGGCCTTGCTCTGCGCAGGGGGATGGAGCCGTGGGGAAGGGGGCTGCTGGCTGCAGGTGAGTCCCTAGTTACCTGCCCTCGGAGCGGCAGGTTTTGTGTTCAGAGGATCCGGACTTCCCCGAGCTGATGTCACAGACAAACAGTGAGGAACAGAGAATCTCTGCAGGTCTCTATGACAGAATTTGGCACATCCTGGTACAGGGGGCTATGGTCTGAGTAAGCAAGCAGCGGCACAACCTGCTCCTGGGCCACAGAAAACATCAGCAGCAGACAGTCCTTTGGCTCCCAGTCCCGTGTGCGGTTGTGAGGCTTAAGACTTCCTCGGGGTGGGGGCATGGCAGATGGGTGCCAGGCAGAGCACAGGCACCATGGTCCCCTGTGACTCTGCCAATGAATAACTGAAGCTTTGGTGCTCTCTCACATAATTTATTTGGTGATCACTGATTTAATTGCACTGTGAAATATTAACTGTGAAGGTTTGCTTTAGACACGTAGGATGTCTGCTGTGGCTTTGTCTTGATATCCTTCCAAATGAGTGAGAGTGGTCTTAAAATTTACTGTGGTACACAGCTCTGGCTCTGAGTATGGGGCTTTGGGTAAGCTGCCAACTGAGAACAAATATACTGTTAATAAATAATAGTGTCGATGATCATAGCATCATAGAATTCGAAATAACCTCAAATATAAACTTACTGACCTAAGAGTGACATGTTGTCACTGGCTGCGGTGCCAGAGAAACAAACATGACAGTCGTCTTGAGAAGAGCTTCAGACATACTCCAGGAATCTACAGATCAGTCAGTTTAGGTTCTGTGCCAGGAAAATGGTCTGCTATTCTAATAAAACCCCAGCATTTTTAGAGAGAAGAATGAACAGGATAAATGGACAGAGATAAAGGAGTCCCAGGGATACCCAGGAAAGGGATGTGATTACTGTGACACACAGGCTGAATGGAGCTGTCTGAGGCTGGTACTTTCCCTTTGCTGTGTTTTTTCCTAACAAGGATTTTGTCAGTTCTGCACTTCTGCCTGTTGCAGAGATTTTACAGGTGACGTTTGTGTGTCGTTCTTTAATACTGGAACCTTGAACAAGACAGCTCAGAAAAGAACTTCTCTTATCCTTTTGTTGATACCAGGAGCAGGCTAAATGGGACTGGTGGTTGCTTTCCTGGAGTGTTCCTGGCCATCCCCGAGGCACTGGTCCATGCCAGCATTTATGGCTGCAGGGGATTCCAGGGTTGTAACTCGTGGCTGCTCTGGCAGCACGCAGCCAGACCCTGTTGGGCCTGCTTGCATTCTTTCCAATGATTTAATGGGTGTTGGTTCAGGCCAAGACATTTCCTTATTTCCTCTAATACCCTTTTGAACTCTAAATTTAATTCAGTATTTTTGAGGGCCAGCCTGTTCATAGTTTAAATGAGAAAATACATGTTCTGAGACTTTGGTGAAACAGAAAGTGCCACATCACTGTGTTCAGATGGGAGCTGCATTTTAACTAGTTATGTGGTCCAGGATATCTTAGGTGGAAGGAAGTAAATTAAAGGAGTTGGATTGAGTTTCTCCTCTGCCTCAACATGCCATTGCCAAGTGTTACCATAAATGAATACTTAGCAAAATTGGTATAATCTGGTTTCAAATGCAAACTCTGGATTAAAATGGTAACACAGAATCATAAAAGGGTAACCTACGTTGTTTGTTTAAAGTTTAATTTATTGTTGGCAGCTACCTTTGAGGTTATTGTGAAACCCCATGTAAAATTCCTGTAAATCTATGATCTCTTTACTTCAAAACATTTCTCCTTTCTTTCCTTGAATATGCTTTTGTGTGTGGCAGATCAGCCTAGCAATAGACAGCTGAAGGGGATGTAATAGAGGCACAGTGCATTTAAATCTACAGCCAAAGAAAACAAGAGAGTTGTCTCTTGTGTAACTTGAGCCCAGAGAGCCCTGAGGTCAGGCTGAACATATTGTGTGACATATACCCGAGTGTGTAAACTGTACAAATGTGAAAGGATTTAGTCTTACCAGCTGCATCCTAGTGTCACTGGCTTCTCTACTCCTCCTGTTTTCCAGGGGGTGAAGTAAGATATGGTTGTGCTAAGAATAGTTGAAAAATATAACTGCTAATTATGAATGCTTCAGTTTTTGTGTTGCACTTTCACATCTGAGGTTCAGTTTTCTGAAGCTTTGATCTTTGGTAACTGTGATGGTTGTAGTGGGGCCCTGGCGCAGGTTGCCCAGAGCAGCTGTGGCTGCCCCATCCCTGCAAGTGCTCAGGCCAGGCTGGATGGGGCTCAGAGCAGCCTGGGACAGTGGAAGGTGTCCCTGCCACCAGCAGGGCCCCTGGCAGAGTGGCTGGGGAGCTGTGTCTGTGCAGCTGGAGGGCAGCTCCAGGCACAGCACTGTCCTGCCCATGGTCAGGGCTCACCCCCAGGAGCTGCTGGTGCAGGAGGCTGTCAGGGCTGGCCTGGCACTCCTGTGCCATGGTGGTGGCAGTGCTGTTCCACACTCAGCTCTTGGCTTTAGGTGCAAGGCACGTGTTTCTGATAGGAATTTCCAGGAGGCTACAAGATACTGCTTTTACATAATCTGATGGGCATTTACCTGATCAAATCCAGGATGATTTACTAAGGCAGCATTTTGTGTAGCAAACAAAACTGGGTAGCTCTGTTTAAAGTAGACTGTAATAATTTGTCAGTCAAGGGGATTATAAACATCTCCTTTTTTTTTTTTATTGCAGTATTCTTGAAACCTATAACAGTCTTACAGACAAACACCTGGTTGGATATTTCAGCAATGCCAGGATAAGACGACATCTTCAGAAATCAGGACTGGTGAGACTGAAAAGTTTCCCTCAATGCTGCATTCAATCAAAAATGCTTTTATGTGGTTGTTTTTCCATATTTCCTTTTGCTCATTCGACTTTCCCTCTGCAAAGTGTTTCAGTTTGGAGATATACAGCATCATATTGGTTCACTAATGTTTTTTTTTACAGTGAAATGTAAGCATCTTTGACTTGTTTAAATAACTTCAGTGTTATTTTTCAGAAGTGTTTAATGGAAACCTGAAGGATTTGGTAAAGGTGAATATGCTGAACATTAAAAACACTGGTGCCCTCCTAAGTGTGACTCTTTTGCACAGGCAGATGCAGTAGGGCAGCAAGTGTTTAATCCTTTCCACCCCTTTGGACAGTGGCCTGTGGAGGGTAAGGCTGAGCCCTAGGCTATTAGAAATGTGGCTGCTGCTCCTTCCATTTGGCTGGTGGAGTTCATGGGGTCAAAGATAATACAGTGCTGGAAGGTGAGTTCCAGCACCATGGCAGGGCCAGAGGTGGAAACAAACCAGGAGGAGGAAGTGGTCCTCTGGGAAATTGTACTGTTTCAAAACATACTTTATTTCATCTCCTCCTTTTCAGTAACATTGTATTTGTGTATGGCAGATCTCAAGGAGTGGAAGAATAATACCTGAGAAGGAATACCGTCTCAATGCCCTAAGGAGGAGCCACCAGAGACACGTCCAGGAGTGCTTGGCTGATGCCATATATCAAAAGGTCCTTGACATGGAGGTGTGCCCCTACTGAGGATGTGTGAGCCTTCTCAGGTGTTTCCTTGCTGACAGCCAGGGGCTGCTAACCTGTACTGGGCTGTTTTCCATGTGTGCTCTCATGCTCCCCTGGAAGGCTCTTTCCTGCTGGGAAAAAGGACAAACTTTGTGCTTTGGGGTTCCCCACATGAAACCTCCATGGGCCTCTCATTGCCAAACCATGCTGTTGTGAGAGCAGGCACTGTCCTGGCTTTCTTATTGCTTTTTGACAGCTCTCAAATAGATTCAGTCCACAGTAGTTTTATTACAGGGCTCAATGAGGGTAGTGGCTAGGGAGAAGGCATGGGACAAGCAGGACAGAAGCAAGAGTTCTTGCACACAGTAACATCTCATGATGGCCAGTAATGGGATTTCTCTTCCTCTTATATTGATAGCATCATCATCAGCTGGGGCTGAAAAAGAGACTTGATTATTCTGTGAGGAAAGAGATGATGCAGCCAGTCAAGGTAAGGCTTCAGACCTGCTGACGGAACCTGGCAGTTTTGCCTGTGTTGAATAATAACCATGAGCCTGACCAGTGATTCATTGAGACAAGTGCTCTGTCTCTGACATGGAAAAGTACAAGAAACAGGCAAGTAGAGGATGATCCTGCCCCAGTTACATCTCCTTCATCCAGAAGTTCAGGAGCTTCCATTTATGCATTTAATTCCTTCTGAATCTAGTTATTCTTCTACTTCTGCACTGTTCTTTGTTGGGTGATTTAATAATAAATTGCATGAAATGGTACCTCCTTGCATTTCCACATAGTAATAAATGTATCTGCTGTCTGGTATGTCTGTTTGATGCTCCATTGTTCTCAGTATGACAAAAGTTATTAAATGTTCTCTTTTTCCAAGGCATCTGTGGTTTTACATATGTTCTTCACATTCCTTCTCAGTTTTCCAAGCTGAAGGTCCTCAGTCTGAATTTTTCTTACCTGAGCCATTCCAGACTTCCCATTACCATTGCTATTTTTTTACCTTTTCTCCTTCTACTATTTCTGTTTTGAAATGGAGAGCCATAACAGAATGAATAATTCAAGATACATTCTCCTCCCAGTAATTCTAGACCTCTCTGCTTTTGACTGCTGATGAGCACTGAGCTCATGTGTTTGGTTGTTTGCCACTCCACGGGATTTGGGCAGAACTGGCGTGTGAGAAATCAAAGAGGTTTTAGGCATCTTCATTTAGGTGTCATTTAGGTTGGACTTGATTCTCTAGTCATAGTCATGGAAATCCCATAGAAGTCAATGGTTCTTCTCCCCATGCAATCACCTGAATTCATATGGGAACAGTCATCCTCATTTTGGCAGAAACATGCTCAGAATTTTATTTCTGTATTAGGAACCTGAATGCTTTGAGAAGAGTGCCTTGAGAAGGTGGCTGCTTCATTGAGCAGCTGGTGAACAATGTCAGGTCTGTTAAACTGTAAATAATACATCTATAAGCAAGTCATGGGGTAAGGAGAGGAGGAGATTTTCCTGGAAGACACTGGTTACTGTGGAAATTGCAAAAGCATAATTTGCTGATGGAACTCCTGTGGTAAGGAGTCACCCCATGGAGGCAGTGATTCTGGCACCCTATCAAGGGATACTGGACTTGAATAGTTTTGGAACTTAAACCAGGACTGCTTCCTTCTGAAAGACACCTGCAGACACCTGATCTGTGTGTGCTGTGCTGCCATGCTGGGATGCAGGAGCCTGGCTGGAGCCAGTGGTGTAATTTAATTCTCAGCTCATCTGTTCAGTGAATTCATCCGAGTTGCTTGTCTGAAAGGAAAGGAGAAAGGCAGATGGCTGAGCAAGGGAGGGTGAGAGACAGAGCTGTCTGTTTCCAGTGGGGCAGCTATCTCTGCATTGGGTTGGTGAGATGAAAAGGTGGAGAGAGGCTGCAGTCATAGCAGGGAAGTGGCAGGTGCACTCAAATTTAAAAAAGAAAGAGACCTTCAAACAAACCAAGAATTGTGAGATACACAGAAACAGACATGGATTGAATCTAGTGGGTCAGCAGCTGGAGAGAGCTGCAGGAAAATGAATCAGAGGTGGGGACAAGTCTTTCTGCTTGTCCCTCACATTCTCCCATGATTTCCTTTCTTTCCTTAACCATCTGTTCCATCGGGTCCAGGCCAGCTGATTGTCACAGCTGTCCAGTGAAAGACAGATGTAATGAGACAGACATCACTGCTTTTGGATTCAGTGCTTCAGAGATGCAAATTCCTTTTCTTTCAGATGGAGCAATCAATGGGAGAAGTTGTCCATATGTACTCCCCACACCCACCAATCGCTCCCAGGAACCACCACGCGCTCTGTCCTCTGGTGTCTGGAGAACGAAGTGGTCGCTCACAAGGGGTGAGTGTCATCAGCCTCTACATGGGCTACCATGGAGGCACAGACAGCTGAAAGCGTGCCCATGGACCTTAGTACAAAGCATTCACTGCCTGGATCATTCTGGATTAGGGCCTCATCCTTCATCACTTGAGGCTGATTTCCTGTTTTCTGGGTTGTGTTAAAGAGGCATCTCCAGAAGTTAGTGTTGCAGGAATGGCACATCAGAACCTAGAAAAAAACCCCAAAACCTTTGCTGTCTGATAAATCTGCTTCAGTCTTTCCCTTTTAGCTGCCTCATGACCTCAGGCAGGCCAGTGTCAGTGTGTTGAGCATTGTCAGTGGACACAGGGCTATAGAAAAGGTTATGCATGTTGTAAAGCCCTGGTGGGGGGTTGAAGGAATGAAATCAGACTGGAGCTCATTTCAGAAAGCTGTGTCTAGGAGGTCTGACTTTTGCTCTTTGTTAACAGCAAATAAGGAATGTTAATATAATGAAAATATACTTGAAATATAATGGTGCTAAAGCCTGAAGTCAAAGGTCAAATATCTAGGTCAGTTTCAACTGGTTCTTTATATCAATAATGATAATTGATGCAGATTGAAGAGAAACTTTTGAGTCCTGAATGACCTTCTCTTCATATAGAGGGCACCTAGATTTGGAGTTGATTATGATGGTGGACGTTGTTCTCTTTATCGCCGAACCAAGGAGCCTGCCTGCTGTAAGGTGGTGAGTTAACCTCAGTTAAACAGTGCTGTTAGGTGCTAACATTTCAACTTGGTATACAACGAAAACATGAAATAAAACAGTCAGAAAAAGCTGAATATTGAACAAAAACAGGTATGTTTTTGTTGTGCATTCTCCCTGGGCCCATGTGCTGAAGTCCATAGCACACTGCTACAGTTTCTGCGAGTTCATTGTGTTTGCTGTGTGGTGATAGAGAGTAGCAAACCTTGTATTTATGGCCAAGAGTTGTTTTGAATGATCGATCAGTTAGAGGTGCCTAAAGGAGTCTGGCTTTTTGGAGGCAGACTAGAAAATGTCATGTCCTGTAGGTACCTGAAATCACTCACCACTTCCAGATATCTTCATCAATGCTATTATTTTTCTTTGCAGCGCTGCTCTATGCTGGAAGCTATACATTGAGATTTTGTCATTGTTTTCTTTCTCCTTTTGTAGAGTTCCTTGCGACCAAATACAGCTCCAGGAAATGTACAGCAGCCCCCTCGCCTCCAGCCCCTTCTTGGCTGGGCTGCAGCAGGGTCTGTATCAAAGGCTTCCAAACAGAAGTGCCATGCACTGGAACATTATCAGCAGTTTGCCTGTGGGGTGAGGCTGTACTTAATTCTGAAAATAAACTGTCCCACTTTAGGGACAGTTTTATAATATTGTTTACTGTGGTTCCCAGAACTGTATATGACAGGGAACATCCCTTTCAAATGGCATCAACTGTTATTTAAACAGTCCTTTTTCACTTTCCCTCAATTTTCAAGACACTGTCTTACTGGTCTAATGCCCAGTTCTTGATCACAGTGAGGAAAAATGTGATGACCTACCTTTTATAGTAAAAAATCTTTCTGCATACAAAATTTTCACTCTCTATGTAGATTTTCTCTTAGGTAGAGAGAGAGGCAGCACCTGGTTGACTCCAGGAACTTTGGAATATTTTCAGCTGCAAGTCCTACAAGTTTTCATCATCACCTACAAAGGAATTGCAAAGTAGCAAAAATTTTCTTTTTTTGATCATTCCTTCTACTAAATCACACTAGTGGGCTCAGAGAATGAGAATCAAAATGGTCATGATATATTTGCAGTTACTTTCAAGTGATATTTGGACTTGTCTTCTGTTCTAGAAAAACAGAATGTGATTGTTTTTGTGATATGCATTCCATGGGGTGAGAGGGCTTTGGAGTGGGGCTGTGATCTGCTACCACTGGCTGGCAGACACTGTGTAAATAGCTCCCTTCTGATCTGTGTTTGCTGTGTATCGGGATGGCCATGATTCTTTCTCCAAGAATTTGCTGGTTGGTCCTGTTTATGTCTACTCAAATTATGGGTGATTTAATGGTTTCTTTAGTGCCCACAACTGACAAAACAGCTAAACAGATGTAAGATCTGAGAACATGATACAGAACTCAGAGCCATGGCATGCAGCATTTACAGAGCTTGTTCTCTAGAAATGTCTTACTCTTATGGCTGTGGTCCATTTCAGTCTGCAAGAGGACTAAATCTCTGTTCAGATGGGGAAGCAGCGTTTTGAAGCACATGTTGTATAACTGATGCCAAGTCATGTTTCTGTTGGACGACTGGCTGCTCTGGGGGTGTGCTTTCCAGCTGCAAGGGAGCAGCAGCTGCAGAGTTGTGCAGGGTTCTGTCTGAGATGAGATCTCAGTGGCGCTGGAGCCAGGGCTTGGTGTGCAGTGCTCTCAGTATCTCTGAGAGTGACATTTTCAAGCAATATGAATGTTGCCTTGCAAATTAAAAGAAAGGGGTTTAGCACAGAAATATTTCAATGAGCAAAATTTCAGGCCCCAAGGTAAGGAGCTGTTTCAGAAGGATGCCTGTTGCTCAGTGTGCCAAGAAGTCAGACCATGGCCAGTTCCATATGCTCGGGAGCTGGTTTTGCAAAAGCTGTGTCACTTCATTAAAATGTTTTTCCAGGGGGAGAGCAGTGAGTTAACGTTTAGGAACCCAATGGACTACATGGCTGGCGTGTCACCCTACCAGCCCCCTGCCAGCAAGCGCCGTCGTCGTCGTGTGGTGCCAGTGCCACCGCCCCGCCCGCACGTAGGGGACAGGTGCATCCCTGGGATCAGACGTGGGCTGCCCGTAGAGAGATGGTTTCACTCCACCACTGGATTCAATGAGCAGTTTTTGATCAATGTAAGTAGTCGCTGTCCTTGTACAGGTGGATTACATTCCTCACTGGTGTGTTTGCTTAATGCTGAAAGATGTGCACATCTAGTTTGCATAAAGCAAATGTATAGCTATTAAAATATATAATTGCTATGCATGTCCCTGTAACCTAAAACATTTGGTGTTTTTCACCAGTTGGGGAGAAAAAAGGTGCTGAACAACAACCTAGACCAACAGTTATTCAAAGTTATTCAAAGCCTTCCACTTCAGTCAATCTGATCCTGTCTCTGGCGCTAGAATCTCAGGGATTTGTGAAATGCCTTGAGTACATGAACACTGCATCAGTTACACTGTCTCCAGCCAGTTTTAACTCCTGTAAAAAAAGTTGTAGGAACCCTGGACTGGGTGGGATGATATGGGTCATTAAACCTGGTTCTTGAAATTTGGTGCTATTCAATGCATTGGGTTTTCAGTTGGAAATGTATCCCACACCCTCTGCATGTTACAAAGACTTCCCAGTTTAATCAGCTCAGCCCTTGTTATAAAAGCCCAGAAGTCTCAAGTGGGCTGCACAGATGGGAGCTTTGTTTTTGCCCCTTGTTGGAGCTGGGAGCTGAAGGCATTTCTGTGCATTTTCTGCTGCAGAATACCAAAGGGTTCCCCAAGTCCCCATTGTGCAGCAACGCCTTGGTCACCATGATCTACCTAGGAAAGAGTAAGCATGTGTCTCTCCGTGATTACAAGGATGAAATCAAAGTCTATCAGCAATACTGTGGAACAGAAAACATTTGTGTCTATAAAGGCGACCTGTTGGAAGGAGGTAAGGATGGAGTCAGAGAGTTCATGTTGAGTGTGACAACACTGTTTTTTTGCTAAAACTTTGCCCTGACATCAGAATGATTAGAGCTCAGTTTGGTCAAGATATATGCATCCAGGAATGTTTATACCATCTGCCTCCACATTAAACCTGGATCTACTGTCCCATGATTGAAAGTGAGGTTACAATTACTTTTGCAATGTTGGTAGAAGAATTTAGAGAATTGATGTAACAAAATACTTGTGGCTTATGCTAATTTTCTCTAGAGATATATGGTTAATAGAGCAGTTGTAGTAATAAACTGTCCTTAAAAAGGGGTTATCTGAGTTACTAAAATACATCAGTGAATGTTGCTTCTTATTCCAGAATGAAAAGTACATACTGGGAGCCCAGTTCCCATCTCTTTTTGTGTGAGTGCAATTCCATCACAGCAGTAAAAGAGGAATTGTGTTCTGGGAAACTGGACACAGGAAATGTCTGGGAGGCTCTGGCCTTTGTCCTGCTGTAGCAGTGAGTGGCCAAATTGACAGTGTGACACTTGTCCTAGGTGTCCCACCTTAGGATTCTGGGGCTGGCAAGAGCCAGGGCTGTGTGTGTGGAGGGGTAGAGTTTAACCAACTGTTGAACAGACCTGAGAACCCCAGTGCCTGTCCACAGAGGGCTGGGTACTGTGGTGATGCAGTTAAGATACAGCAGTTGCTACAGGCTGACAGTGAAGCACAGTGTTTTTTCTTTGAACCCTTTCTTTCTGTAATTGCAGATACCTTCCAGTTCATCTCTAAGAGGTACCTCGGTTACCCATTCAGCCTCACCTTTTATCTCAACGGGCTCCAAGTGGACAGGCTGAGCTGCTGCTGTGAGTACAGAGGCTTTCAGTGTAAGAGGCCTGCCCGGCTGCGGCGCAAAAACACCTACTTCAGGGTGCTCCATGTGGCAGGAGCACCTCCTTGCTACAGGTACGGAGAAAGCACGCTTTGCTCGCCAGGACTTCGTTTAGAGAGTTCCTCACTTGTTTCTCTTCTTTCACCTCTCTGCTCCACGCAGCTCTGTAGAGCCTGCTCAGTCCCTCAGTGCCCCATGGAAGGTGCAGGATGGAGGTCACCTGTCAGGGTCTCACCTCCAAGGCTGCCAGCACAGCCGGTTCCCGTGGCTCCTCAGCCTCCCCGTGGTGTGGGGACACAGTGGGGACAGTGCTGGTGTTGCAGCAGGGGGCAGTGGCTCTGGGGTGGGGCACATGTGCCACCCGTGTGGCTGTGGCCACAGTAGCAGTGGAATAAATACTGAGCATGCTGCTCAGCTGTGGTTTCCAGAGGCTTTTTTTGTGATAATTGATTTTTAAACAGCTCTGTCTCTGAAGTGAGATTCTGAAGCTAGGACTATTACAATATTCTATTGTAATAGTCCTAGCTTCAGAATAAGGCAAGGACCTGAATATTTGCCATGGTTCAGAAAACAAATCTGTGCAGAAAGGTCTTGGGCAAATGTCAGTGCTGTGACCAACAGCTGTGATTCTGCCAAGAGGCTTTAATTTTCATAAAATCTTCCTTTTCTGTAATTGTTAATTCAGGCCATACATAAACTTACAGACATGTGCATAATTTAAAATATTTTGTGTTATTTTAATAAATAATTTTTAAAAGAGCAGCTAGCAGTTGGAACAAGAACTCTTCACAGAGGTGTACTCTGTTCCTTCAAATAAGGATTGAATTCTAAGAAAAAAGTGCTAGTGTATTGTACCATAGTTTTTGCTCCAGTCTAACATTGAACATGATTTATGTTCATTGCATGTTCATTGCATCTTCAAAGGAGTGAGAAGCATCTGAATTCAGAATGGCTATAGTGGCTATAGATTTTAGGACATGCCCCAATCTCAGCTTTTTGTGATTTCTATAAAAATTTGAAGTGAATTTTCAGAATTTAATATAGTGTTCAAAAACTGGATTGATTAATTAATTCTTAAGTTACTCCTCCTTTCTTTCCCCCTTTCCCTCTTAGTGATATCTCTCTTTTCCTGCCTCTTATCAATCCAGCCAACCTTATCTAATGACTAAAAATTGTCTCAGTTAACCTGATTTTACCCATAAATGACAACTATTTTCTCATCCCTTCAGGCCAAGTGCACTTGGGTTTGTTTTCTGCTCTATGACATACATTGAATGCCCACTCTGGTTCCCAGTAAAAGTCCCAGCTGATTCTCCCTGGTGGGTCAAGGCTTTGGCTCACAACGAGCTGATGCTGCAGTGATTTCTGTACCATGCTGTACACCTTGGTCTGAGAGCTTTCTGCTGGCCAAGGTCCTGCATTTCTGTACAGCTCCTGACTGTAAGAGAGAGAGAGCATATCACTCCATTTTATACAAGAGGGGCAGTCTCAACAACTCATTCAAAATGTTTGTTTTCCATCTGTTTGGGTTTCTTTTAAGTAGGTAAACAGAAGAGAAACAGAAAATTGCTAACTTTTAACCTTCTTCTTCCCCCAGATAAGTCTGGGGGAAATCAACAGATAACCAGCAGATAAATGCAGAAACCCCCAGCCTTACCCACAAACCCTCAGTTATCACACTACTGGGAGTTACAGCAGGATCTGGATCCAGAACACGTCTGACTCAGAGCTTGTCTGCCTTTCTCAGTGGTTCTGTCTTCACAGCCAGTGTTTGGTGCAGCTTCAAATTAACGGGCACTTGTAATAATTTTGGTTCTGTTTGTATGTCAGTTGTCACCTGTAAGTGTAGGCAGCATTACTGTCCTCCAAGGAAGAAGTGCATCTGTGTCAGGGGAGCTCTCAGGGATTTCAGGGTGCTTCTCCTTGTGAGTCACTGTGGCAGTGCAGAGGCAGACGGGTGTTTGGTTTCCCTGCTAATAACAAGCTGAACTCACTATGTCTGCTGCCCTCCATTGTTCAAAGGAAGAAACATGTGACACTTCCCAGTTTGTGTTATTTTGTAGGTGCTTTCTTGCGATGGGCCTGGACAAAAAGCTGTTCCCTCCCAAGAGGAAGATTAAGTACTATACGAGGTCACACATGTGTGGCTGTTCTCCTAACTGCACGCACAGCGAGCCCTGTGACAGCAGCATGGTGCAGAAATCAATTGAAGGCTCAGTGTCACTCACCATACCGAGCCAGGAAGAAAGTGTGCAAACTATTGACGAAACACTGGAGTCTGAAGAGGAGTCCAGCGAAGAAGATGATGATGATGATGATGAAGAAGAAGATGAAGAAGAAGAAGAAGAAATGGCAGACCAATCTTATGAGGAGACCGAAGCCACCACCACTCAGGAAAACACCAGTGAAAGTGGTATAGTATTCCCAAACATGAGCAGGGGACGATGAGAAATGGGAGGGGATGGTTCTGGAGAAGGTATGGGACTGTGGACCGCCAGCTTTGACTGGGGTATGAGAAATGTGGTGATGTCTGTATTGGGGCCACAGAATTAGAGCGGCTCCTTTCAGCCATGCAACAGGATGAGGTGGTTTGCAAGAGCCAAGAAAGTAAGTAAGGAAGGTGGTGAGGCAATGACACAGGTTCCCCAGAGCAGCTGTGCCTGCCCCATCCATGGAAGCATTCAAGTCCGAGTTAGACAGGGCTTGGAGCAACCTGGGATAGGGGAAGGTGTACGCAGCTATGGAAGAGGCGTCAAGCTCAGTCTCTGCCTTTACTTCCTCCTTATCATAATTTTCTTTGGAGGCAATCACATTCACAGAGAGATTTTAATTCCTACTTCCTATTCCTATTTTTGCTTTCACAGTTCTGATGTGTTGCTGCTCATCTGACACTCGTTAGTCCCTCCGGATGTGTGTTTGGGGTTAATGAAGCCTTTTTCCTTCAGGAGGAACTGCCCTTCTGACAGAGACCTCACTGCCAACACTGCAATTGGAATCTCAATTGATTTTTAATGCAGAAAAATAAATCTCCTTATTCCCTTAGTTCTCATTGTCTTGGTAATTGATTGTTTGCCTAACTGGTTCTGCTTCAGGAACTCTTCATTTCTGTCCTTGGTGTTCTGTCACTTCAGTATGTTAAAAGCCCTGATGGAAGGAAAGGAAGGCAGCAATAAAAGCTGCAAAGTGAGGAATGATGGCCACAAGGGACATCTGGTGTGGCAGCAGTGCAGCTGGCCTGCATGGTGCAGGGTGTTCCCTGCGTGCGCAGGGAGCCCGCGGCAGCAGGGCAGAGATGGATTTTAGGTGGGAATCCCCGGCATCCCTGGGATGTGCACAGCACAGCTTTGGGGGAAGGGGAGTCTTTAACGCATCTGCATGAAGAGGGTCTTCACCTCCAGAGCCAGGCAAAGTGCTGTGGAGGGCCGGGAGCCGGACTCGAGGATCCGCGTGGATCCTTCCAGCTCAGCTTACTCTGATCTATCAGAGGTCACAGCTTGTCAGGCTAGTGCCTGGCTGAGTTCCAGAACGTGGATGTAAGAGTGGTAATTCTGTGCAGGCTTTGCTTGTACTGGGTTTTCCCCTGGACCCTGGAAGAGCACGTTACAGCAGTGTGATAGCAGAGTGCCTCTGCAGTGCCCTTTGGCTGGAGTTCATTAAATTCACTGAGCTTATGAGACACTTCTTTGCTATTTAGTCATGTCAATATACATTTATTGTACTTTGCACCATAATATATTACCTTTCTCCAGCTTTCTCAATTGCTTGTAATTTTTTTCATTACAACCAGTTTTTCTCCTGTTATAAGAGATTCTTACATTTAATTTCTGAGTTTTCCCAGCTCTAAATTTTTCTAGTACTTTCCATGGCTGGTAATTTTGTTTATTTTTGTTTCAATATGTTACTCATACCTGTTGTTTTGCTACATTTTTGCTACTCTATGAAGAACACAATGAATGTTTTTTTATGATAATATGTTCTTACAATTCTTATCCCTGGTCTTAGATCCTCTCATGGCTTTAAAAAGACTGAGGAACTTCAAGGGCAAAAGGAGATTAATGATGTTAATTAATATCAACTCAGAACGCTAATAGTGACTCAGTGTTTCTATCTGCTTAAAAATAACTTTTTTAATTGTGAATTCTGTTTCCTGTCTCACAGTACAATTCTTCTGTTTTAGAATATGATGAAGATTTTGAAGCAGATGAAGAAGTTAATGAAGAGGGACAGACTGGTCATCAAATGAATGGAATGACAGAGTCATCCTCAGATGATAAAAACCATAATTTAGACTATGAAAAGGAGACTGAAAGCTCATCTCAGAAGGCACTGCAGGCCTCTGGCTGTGAGAAAGGTGAAAGTGGCAGATATTCTGGTGACAGGGACTCTGAACATGATGTACCAGGTTAGTTTTGCTCATAGCAAGGCTTGAAGAAGCTGATCTGATGCATGTTTTACAGTTTGCATGTGTCCAGTATGCATGTTGAGTCTGCATAGGAAAACCTATGCCCTTCCTACTGAAATGCTAAAAGGCAGCTGTTTTATCACTATTAATTGTGCCACTGAAGAGCAGGCAGCCCCCTGGCAGTGAGAGATGGGCCTTTGCTGAGCTGTCGGGGTGCTGAGATGGAGCAGGCAGCAGGCAGGCTCCCAGAACCTTGGCAGGAACACCCTCTGTGTCAGCAGGCACTCACACATGGGAATCTGTGACCCCTTACACCTTCTGAGGGGTTCCAGGACACCTGACAGGCCATCCTGGGTTTTAAAACTCTGTCTTTAACGGCCCTGAATATGGCCCTAATTCATTTGGCTGTGCCAGAGACCTGGAAATAGTTAGATCATCTGAAGGGAAAGGAGATGGTGCTGAGCAGGGCTGGAAGTTGGACTGGATGATCCTGGTGGGCCCCCTCCAACTCAGCTGACTCTGTGATTCTGTGATTGTGTCTGTAGAGGAACCCGCTTGGTTTTCCTGTGAAGGAGCAGTAGTACTCTGGGTGGGAATCTTTAAACTGGGGCTGTAAGGTTTCTTGGTGCAATGTGTTTTTCAGAACATGCATTTCTGCATGCATTGTAGTTCTGACACTTTTATTTTCTTTGCCTGATTGGATTTTTCGGTCTTGAGTTAGACCAATCCCTTCTTGAACCCATGTAGATTGTGGACAGCAGCAGGGCTGTGCAGCAGTCAGCTCTGCTGTTCAGCTCACTGTTAGATGAAAGATTATGGCCTTTTTTTCCCTCAAATTTTCCATTTATGAGTTTAATATGATGATGTCTATATGTTTTTTTAGAGGAGACAGTGAACTTCATGTCCAGTTCAACATGAAGGGTTCACACATGGTTTTGGAGATCTTTCTAATATTCAATGAGTTAACAGAAGGGCACTGAGGGGCTGTTGCCATGGTTGAAGTCTTTTATCAAATGAAGCTCAAGAGTCTGTGCTAAACCCTGTCTGAGCTGTATTTAGAGGTGCATTTGGAAGTGTATTTCTGTGTGATTGATAGAACTACTCTGATTTATTTCTATTATCAGAAAAAAAACCCTTCACATTAAATGGCTTTAATTTTAATACTTCATACATCTGGGCAATGTTCTTCTATTTGCACTTACTGGAATTTCATCACAATATCCTGAGATGGTATAATTCAGAGAATGCTGTTGGATGGGACTGTGTCCCTTTGTGAGTGCCCAGTGAACGCAGAGGTTTAGTGACAAATACTAAATTAAAATTTGCTGTTTTCAGAGAGGAGGCCTGCAGACTCTTTCTCATCCATGAGCACTCAGTGCAGCACTGAGACTGACTCTCATGCTGAAATGAAGGCAGACAATGTGAAGTGCAAAGAGGACTACAATATCAAAAGTACATCTGATAGTGCAGCACATGCACACTATGGAAATGAGAATGGGGAGAAGAAACTGCTCAGAGTGGAGGAAAATCAGGAGAATTCTTCACTGGAAAAGAAAGGAATAGATGAAGCAGAAAAGACAAAACCAGAAGATCTAACAGCAAGGGAAGATACTAGAATTTTTCATGAAAACATAATGGCAATGCAGCATGAAAACCCTGAGGTTAATGGGGAATTCAAACACACTGGGTCAGGAGAAAGTAACATTAATGAGGAGGAGAAATATCCTTCCGTGCCTTGGGATAGCAGAGTACTGAACAATGAGGATGGCAACGAAGACTCTCCTTGGTGTGAGGAAGGAGGTGGTGAGTACAGTCCCTGTGCAGCTCTGCATGCCTGTGCTGCTGCATTTGCCTTGTACTCATTCCTGGTGCAGCACAGGGAGCTGGAGCTGCTGTGAGCCCAGTATCCACTCAGAACATTAACACTGGCTCAGTGTTTCTCTGCTAGTGTTTCAAGTGCAAGGATTTGTCAAAAAATGAATTTTAAACCATTTTAAAGCTGAGATGGCTGAATGGCTTCTACTCCCCTTTTGCTCTTTAATGGTTTCTCTTTCTTGCTTCCTGTTTTCTTTGTGAAAGTTTTTGAAGATTGCAAACCAGTCCAGGAGGAGATAGCAAAAGCAACTGGAAATGATCATCCTGTGAATTCTGACCCTGAGCCTGGTGATTTGTGTGCCAGTGAGGAAGAAAAGAACACAGCAAACACAGAGCATGCTGCCAGTGAAGGTAAGATTAGCTGTCAGTCAGGGACAAGGATTAAATTACTCACCTGAAGCCTTTTAACAGAAGTGTTTGCCCTTTCCCTTTCCTTTGGCCATCAAAGTCTCCTTGTGCTTTTTTTCTTTCCTAGCTTGTAAAAAATCAGGTGACAACTAGCTGGCATCTGTAGTCATGTATGATTAATGCTTTTTTTGGCCATTAAATGGTTCTATGAAAAGAATCCAGGCCAAGAAAAAACTGTCAGGAAATAGCTGTGGAAAGTAGGAATGTAGTGAGGTTCCCTGTGCTTCCTGGTAGTGTGCAGCCCCTTGGGAAATGCCTTGGTTCCCAGGGGCAGGAATTAACCCTGGTGTAATTACAGAATTCACAGGAAGCTGGATGTTCTTTGTCCTTTGCATATTTCACAGGAGCAATTTGTCAGCTATTTCTGCCTTTCTGAGTGTCACTGTCAAGCTTATAGGTGTTGCACACACACACGAGCTCCCTGCAGGGAGGGAGGGAGGCAGAGCAGGCAGCACAAGCATAACTGGCCTTGCATCAACATTTTTAGTTAAACTCTTTATGCCAGATGCCAGAACAGTGGTACTAAAGACATGGTCAGAGCACAGGGATGTGATGAGAAGCAGCACAAGTTCTCTTTGGGTGCCCAGGATGATGTCCCTCATTGCTGGGCAGAAATGTCACCTTTAGCACTAACCCTGTGAAGCATGTAACACTGACGGGGTGCTGAGTAAACCAATGTTTGATTGTCTCCTAACAGCAGCAGATGGAGGTTTCCTGGCCGAAGGGAGGAGCAGCCCTGACGTGCAGGAGGCAGCAGCACAGGCGGCACCCGCAGGGGCGGCGGATTCGCTGCCCCGGGCAGGCACGGGGGCTGCGCTGCAGGAATCCGCACCGCAGGAAGGCGCCGTGGCAGAGGAACATCCCCGGGGACAGGGAGCAGGGGAGGCAGGGCAGCTGGGCACAGAGGTGCCACCTGGGGAGCAGGAGGTGCTGCTGGAGGGGATGGAGAGAGAGGTGGCACTGGGAACAGCTGGGGGAGAGGGGCCAGCCGGGGCACTGCCAGCACGGGAGGCAGACACAGCCGTGCCCCGGGGGCAGGAGGGGGCTGGGGGCACCGGTGAGGAGGAGGAGGAGGCTGCAGAGGAAGGCCCCAGAGGAGCAGCAGGGCCCCCAGCAGAGGAGGAGGTGGGTGAGGCGGTGTCCGGGGCAGGGGAGACCCTGGGGCAGGGAGGGTCTGCAGGGAAGGACACGATGGTGGGTGCTGTGTCAGAGGGAGAGGAGCCTGCGGAGGATGCTGATGTGGCAGCAGATGGGAAGGCCAGAGCTGTGGGCCCTGAAGGAGAAAAGGTTGGTGAAGAAGAGTTTTCTGAAGGGGAGGAGGCTATGGGGAAGCCCGGGGCTCTCTGGGAAGCACTAGGGGATGTGGAAACAGGAGAAGCAATGTCTGGAGGGGAAGGGTTTGTAAAGCCAAGTCAGTTTTCCCAGCTGAAAGTGTCAGGGGAAGAGTGTATGGAGATGGGGAAAGCTGTCCCAGGAGCTGCAGCAGCGTTTGAGAGTGCTCAGGCTCTCCAGAGAGAGGAGAACACGGTGGAAGAGTCTGTGGAGCCTGACAAGGGTCCTGTACTGGAAGTGGCACCTGGGTTAGGGGCACTGGGCGGTGCTCGGGGGGATCCTGTCACTGAAGGGTCACAGGAGGAGAGGCTGGCAGTGCAGGAGGAGGAGGGTGCAGCAGAAGCACTTGGGAGTGGAAACCCATCTGAGGGCAGCAAGGCAGAGACAGAGAGAGCAGTGGAAGGAGAACCCGAAGGAGAGGTGGTGGGAGGGTCTGCAGGGGCGGCCGGAGCGGGCTCGGGGGATGAAGAGGAGGGCGCAGATGGAGCAGCAGGTTCAAAGGAGCCGGCAGCTGGGACGGAGGGGTGGCTGAGGTGTGGGCAAGTGAGAGGGGAGGGGAGGTGTCCCGGGGAGGGGGTGCTGGGCGAGGCGGCGCCGGGGCTGTGCGGGACCCGCGCCGGGGAGCCCGGGCTGGTGGCCATCGCTGTGCTGGGCGGCCGGGCCGGCCGAGGAGCCCTGGCCGGGGGCCCGGCAGAGGCTGGGGCTGGCGGGGCGGGCACGGGGGCGATGGCACAGGAGGGCGTGATAGGAGCAGTGCTGGGGACACAGGGCGGGACAGCGCCGGCAGGGCCAGAGGAGGCGGCGGCCGGGGAAGGGCTGGCCGGGGAAGGGCTGGCCGGGGAAGGGCTGGCCGGGGAAGGGCCGGCCGGGGCACCTGGGGCTGGCGGGGCAGCGGGCGGGGGCGAGGGCCGGCAGCGGGGCGAGGACGGGCGGCAGGAGGAGGGCATGGAGCAGGCAGCGCTGAAAGCCGAGGGGGAGCAGCCCTGTGGAGATGCGGTGGCGGGTGTCTCGGCGAGGGCAGGGGCCGCTGCTGGGGAGCAGGGGCAGCACAGCCCGGTCGGAGCGAGCCCAGCTGTCCCGGCAGCCGCCGACGCGGGCGAGAGGAGCCGCAGTTCCCGGCAGGTGAGTCCTGCGTGGGGCAGCCCCTGTCCGCAGCAGCCCCCAGGCTGGTTCCTGTCAGAGACAGGGGATGCACCGCCCCGTCCCGTTCCTTATCCGTTCCTTAAATGTCTGCTGATGCTAGCTGGGTCAGGGGATGATAAATCCTTTGGGGTGGCGGCTTCTGCATTGTTTCCTATTCCCAAAATCCCGTGCAAATAAATCCCTTTGCTGCGGCACCAATTCTCGCAGCCCCTCCGCCCTCCCTCCCCTCTACCCAGCTTGTCGCAGCTCTGGTGGCATCGGGTGAGCCCTGGGAGTGCTCGGCTTCCCTGTTACTCTGGCCTCTCCTTGTAGATGTCACAGCAGCACCTCGGTAGCTCCGAGTTCAGCACGTTTTCTGTGATGTTTGGTTATTGTTTTGTAGGATAGTGAAAACCCAGACGCACTCATCATGTCCTCAGAACAGGATGGGGAAGAAACTCTGCTCTGAGCTTTTTCTGCAGCCCCTCAGTGCTGTGTCCTGTAGCATGCGCTCAGCTGGCCGTGGGTTTGTGCCGGCTGGGATGTCACTCCTCTCTTCACTCTGTGGGTAACACAGCCACCTGTCACGTTTCACTGGAGCAGCTCCTCAGCATGCAGCAGACAACTGCAACGAGCTTGTGTTTGCCAGCCCAGGAAACAGCACTCCTTTGGAAGGATGAAGACAGTAATCACAAGGATTGTTCCACAGCTGTCTGCCTTGTTTTTCTTGAAAGACAGAAATATACTGGACTGACTGAACTTCCCCTCCTCCCCTAGGCACCACTTGCTCCTGCAGGCAGATAGGCAGGCAGAACTTTTATCCTGGGATCTTTCCCACCCCATGCCAGGGGAGGGGAGCCCTCCTGCATGCACAGTGCCCCCTGTGCCAGGGGCATGTGGGGGGCTTCCCTCCCTTTGGGCATCCAGGCTTGCTGGTTGCTCATATGATTCTAACAAGTATTTGTAAATGCATGAAGCCTGGCCTTCTGCTTTTGCTGGAGTCACTCAGGAGTGGTCCGTGGAACCTCAGCTGAGGCTGCCAGCAGGGTGGGCAGTTTAGAGTTGTCTCAGCCTGGTGCTGGCTGCCCATCTCTGCTGCCCAAGGCTCTTCTCAGCTCTGCTGCACCTCTGGCCACACTGGGGCCCCTAGGACCCTTTTGGGCCGGGCACCTGGGGCTGGGTGTGCAGCAGCCTCTAGGCACTCCAAGCTTGGTGGGTGCAGCAGACTCAGCCCCACACAGTGGGGAACTGTAACTGTGTTTTCAAGCAGGGAAAAGACACTGAAATGAGCAGGATTTTGAGTGGATTGGTGCTGTGAGTCACTTCAGATCAGTATCCATGGAATTGGAAACTCAAACGTGCTCAAGTGGCTGCTGTGTGTTTGCTCCTAGAGATGTTCCTGTACTAGAGATGGTTGCATCTTTGTGTTTAGTCTGTACAATGTCGCAGAGGGTTGTGTTTTCTCTGTCATACTCACACCTACACGTTCACTCAGGCCTATTAAATACCTGTACCAGTCTGTGCAGCTCCTTCAGTTTGTGCCGAGGGTTTAACTGTAGGAATAACCCCTGCAGTGCAGCAGGGCCTGAGCTTCAGTGTCTGTCTCTGCTTGCCAGTGGGCTGACTGATGGTGGGGTGAGTGTTTGTGCCACTAAAGCTGCCTTGTGCAGGTACCCCTCTGAAGCTCATGTGGGCATGGCCACACCTGGGTGTTTGGACACACGGGCAGCAATTCCCGGGGGACAGGTAAGCAAAGAACACAGGGATGTAGGGATTTGCCTTTGCAGATATTCCCTGGGAGCCCCACTGGGGCTGCAGGAGATCCAAGGCATCAGAGAAGGCCTTGATGAACAGAGCAGTGTGACTGTAAGGAACTGGGATGCTGACAGATCATTATTTAACATTCTTGAAATATTTATAAGTGACACCTATGTGTATGGTTGTAACAGCTGGGGGAAAGAATCCTGTGGTTAGGAACACATATGTGGACTTCCAAAACATTAGTGTCCCTGTCATCTGAGCAGGCAGAACCTTGGTAATAAGCAAAACCATGGAAATGGATAATTGTATAGGTTTGGAAAAGCTTCCCATGCTCCTTTCTGCTTTCCTATATGGTGCTAATCAGTAATTAACTTCAAAGTGAAAAGTAGGTTGCACTTAGGGAGAAACAAGATGTGCAGCAAAAAGAAAAAAAAGACTAATTATTACAGTGAGCATATGTGAGCAAAGCAAACTATCCAATAGTGTTGCCACTGGCAAAACTCATTCTTGGCTCATCAGGAAGGCTTTTTTAACTCCCTGAAGTGTCAGGTATTTTCAGTTGCCTGTCATTGGCTTCTGATGGTTGTGCCTCAGATGTGCCTCAAACAGCTGGAACCTGGTGACATTCCACAGCTGAAGAGATGCATTCAATCAGTTCAAAACCATGCCAGCTGTGCACTGCGGACACAGGACGGGGAAAATTTAAAGTCTAGCTCCTGGAACTGGGCACCAAGCCCTGGCATTGCTGGCAGATGTGTGGAACAGTGACTCACAGACACCACCAAGGATGCTGGGTGTGAACAGCATGGGCAGCTCATCCATCTGTCTGAAGTGAGGGCTGCAAGGTTTCCTGCCTGGGAATTGCCTGAGTGGTTTTGGGGCTCAGCTGTACAAACCAGGCAGGACCGACCCCTCTGCCTGCCCTTTGGGGCTGAGCCTCTGAGGCAGCCCTTCTGTGCTGTGCCAGCTGTGCAGTCCTGCCTGTGCTGCTGGGCTGTCCTGGCTGGGCTGTCCTGGCTGTGCTGGGCTGTCCTGGCTGTGCTTTCTTGGCTGTCCTGGCTCTGCTGTGCTGTCCTGGCTGGGCTGTCCTGGCTGGGCTGTCCTGGCTGTGCTGGGCTGTCCTGGCTGTGGTGTCCTGTGCTATCCTGGCTGTGCTGGCTGTCCTGGTTGTCCTGTGATGTCTTGGCTGTGCTGTGCTGTCCGTGCTGTGCTGGTTGTCCTGGCTGTGCTATCCTGGCTGTGCTGTCCTGCCTGTGCTTTCTTGGCTGTCCTGGCTGTGCTGGTTGTCCTGGCTGTGCTATCCTGGCTGTGCTGTCCTGCCTGTGCTTTCTTGGCTGTCCTGGCTGTGCTGTCCTGGCTGTGCTGTCCTGTCTGTGCTGTCCTGTCTGTGCTGTCCTGGCTGTGCTGTCCTGGCTGTGCTAGCTGTTCTGTGCTGTCCTGTCCTGTGCCATTCTGGGGAATGTTGGGACCTGCTGCAGAAATGCCAGGCTCACTTCTGGCTGCTGTCCAAACCCTTGTCTGGTTGGAGGCCAGATTGTTTTAATCTAGATCACCTATTGCTGATATGTTAAACAATGTAAAATATCACTACAGCTGCCAGGCACTGGCAGGTCTCCAAAGCAGGGTAAGAATCCTCTTAGCATCTCATTCTTGGTAAATATTTTGGTGTGCTGGGACTTCTCTGGGAACAGCACAGGCTACTTGCACTCTCACAAACTGCTTGGGAACATGTTCTACTCATTTACATTTTTCAGAGTTTTTGTTTGTTTCACTAAGTGATCACTCCTATGAAACATGTTTTCCCCCTGAGCCTGATTTTCTTCTATAGAGAGCAATTAACTAAGACATTGTATCCTTCAAGGAACCAGTAATTTTAATTAGTATTAAAATTAGTTGCAAGCACTTGTCTTTGTAAAGAGCTCTTAAACTAAAAAAAGTTTAGCATTCTGGTATTTTTGTTGCTTTTGTTTCCATGTGTTCCCCTCTGACATGTTCTGAGAAGGTGCTCAGGGATGACACCAGCAGCTCAGGTATCAGTGAGTACACAGAGGTATCAGTGAGTACACATGAGTCTGCTTCCTTGCTCCACTTTTGTTTCTCTAATATAGTTTAGTTTCTGGTTTTCAGGCCTGGTCACTGAATGCAGAGTCACTGCATGGTTACTTTAATGAAGGGAAAAAGAATGCAGAGATATTAGTAAGAAAAAAAATCCTGTTGAAAAAGAATCAGTGCTGGAACTGATTTTTCAGATATGACAATGGTTCCTTTCTGCACCAGTGGTGTTTCTGGCCAATGCAAAGACCAAGGAATGACAGCTAATCTCTATCCACCCTCTTTCATCAGGCTATTCCCTGCCTGTGCTTCTGTAGCTTGGCCATGTGGAGCAGATCATCATCTGGCCAATTAGAGTCAGGTAGGCAATTCTCATCAGCATCCCAGATGCAGCTTCTCCCTTCTGCTTGGCCCCTCTTCCCTCACAGCATGCAAACTGCCAGCCTTGCTTGTACTCCTAGGAAAAATACAACAGATTTCCTCCAGTTGTAGACAAATCTGGATGTTGTTTTGTTGTGGTTTGCTGGCGCTTTATAGTTCCTCTTGTTCGGCCCCTTCCATGAAAATCTCGTGACTTTTTGGGCCAGGAGATTGCAGACAGGGTCCTGGTGAGCCCCATCCCAGGCTTTCCTGTGTATTTATTCTGACATTTCTATTGTCCCAGCAGCTGCTGGTGTAAATGGAGCAGCACCTGAGACATGAGCTCAGTGGAGCAGTGGTAACACTGGCTGGTACCAGGGGCAGTGCTGGGACAGCTGTGACAGAGCTGTAACAGCTTCTTCCCATTCAACTTTTCAGCAAGTGAAACAGAACAAATGGAAAACAACCTCTAAGCTTTACTTAGTGAAATCTTCCCCATTTTTATTGCTTCAGCACTGTTGGAGTAATGACAGGTGTGTCATTGAAGCATTGTCAGAGCCCACCATGCAGCCCTAGCTCATGTCTGTCACACTGTTTGAGGCCTCTTTGCAGGCCTGCTTCAGGGATCATGGCTGGAGGAAAACAGCATCCTCAACAACATCACAGAACTCTGCCATCAACGGGAAATACCAATTCCTGCTCAGCCAGGAAGGCAGCTCTGCCTTGGCCACACAGACAGTCTTACAGAAAACTTTTGTTAATTTGAAAAAAGACCCCAGAAAATAGCAGTGTGATTAATTCTGTAATTGCTTCTAGAGGAAGAGTTCAACTTCTGCTGCTCTGCCCTGTTCTCTTTTCTAATGCCCCATGGTCAGAGCTGCTGCTGCAGGGCACGGGGTGGCCAGCTGAGGCAGAGGCAAAAGCAGAATGCAGAACAGGGACATTTGCCATCAAGACTAAAGCTGTTCAGTCCGGGGATGCCAGTGTGACACTCAGGGTTCCGTGGCGGTGGCCGGGCTGGGGCAGGCGGATGCTCCCTCCCTCAGCTGCTGTCCTCCAAGCTGCTGCTGCAGGAGTGGAACCTCATGGTGCTCAGGGGGTCGGACACGTACCCTGCAGGAGCAGAGAGGGTCCCTGCAGCTGGCACAGAGTGCTCCCTGCCCTGAGTGCCAGCACAGCCTGTGCTCCGGGAGCTCGGGGAGCACTCTGCAGTAGCTCACCGTTTTTGTCCACGGGTGGGTACTGGAAGTTCCTTCTCATGTCATCCAGAGACAGGCCCTGAGACGGGGTTTGCCCAGTGCTGCAATTTAAACAGGAGGTGTCAGTTTGTAAGACTGATGATGGCACATCTCCAGACCATGAGAACTATTTTTCCTGAGTGGAAGGAAGGAACAGTACCATGAGGCATCAGCCTGGGGCCTGGCCACAGCAGTGCAGTAAACAAAAAGCAAGAAAAAGTCATGAACAGAGACCATGACCCCCAGGCATGCTGGCACTCAGTTACTCTTCTCAGAGTAACTGCCCTCAAATACCCCATTGGGGGCTTCACAACTCTCTCTGGATTGCCATCTTGGAAACAATTCCAGGCATCAATCCAGGGTCATTGACATGTTTTTTATGTGTCAGTGCTAAAAGGTTCTTGCAAATACATTTCTCAGGCAAGGAAGATGGTGGAATTATCTTCCAGTCAGAGACCAAATCCACTGTCCTGCCAACCCTGATCCTGGAGATGACGGTTGCTGTGTTTGCCATTGAAACCAGTTCTCTGAGTGGCAGGATATAATACCTCAGGTATTTACTTAATGGTACAATAATATAGAACCCATGTGTGTCCCTGCCTTAAAAAACACCAGTTCTTCTTCTTACCATTCTGTAGCCATGAAATGAGTGATACCCACTTTTAGGATGTACCCTGGTAGGACAAGTCCCAGCAATGCTGACTCCCACAGACCTCTGTCAGGCTCTTCCTTACATAGCTGTCTCCTGTACCTGCTGGAAGGCTCTGGATTCTGTCTTGTCTGTCCATCTATCCCTTCCCTTCTCATCAAGGACACTTTCACCTTCCCCCGCCGCCCTCCCAGTGGCAGCCTGCGCTCTGGGATGGACAAGCTGACGGCCTTGCGAGAGAGCACGGCCCTGGCACGGCACCTCCCAGCAGCACAGGCTGTTCCTGTGCCCAGCCGTGCCCGGGAGCCACGGGGCCGGGCTGGCACGCACCGCTGCGCCCAGGCCGCGTAGGCCCGCGCGTTGAGGGCGTACTCCAGCTCGAAGCGCGAGCGCAGCGCGGCCACGTGGCTGCGGCCCGGCCCGCCGCGCGCCGCCAGGCAGTCCGAGGACGACGATGGAGACAGCGACCCGCTGCTGTTGCTGGAGG